GGTGACCGGAGGGCTTATTATGTTGTACAAAAAATACCAACAAAAACTAATAATTTTAGTACATGTTATTATGTGTCAGAAGAGGGCTTAGGAAATAATACAAAAAAAAAAAAAGTTTGACCAAAAGGGCACTTGGGGGCAAGGAGCAAAAGGGGCAGGTGCTGAATGAAGCCCCCCCAGCCCCCTCCCCTCCACGTGCCTGTCCCCTTCGTAGTCGGCTGCTGGTTGCATCGTGCAGCTTCTAATTTCAGACTTCATCTCTTATGAGACCTGGAGGACAAACTTGGAGCTTCTGGGTAAAATCCAGGGTGGTGTTTATGGATGTTTTACTGGAAACTGGTGATCAGATTTTAGTCATTCGTAATCCCAGTTTACTGGATGTGCTTGTGCGTGTCTCGTTCTTCAGGAAGGATTGCTGTTGGATCTGATGCTGATATTGTAATTTGGAACCCAAAAGAGACTCTAACCGTTTCTGCCACAACTCACAACCTGGTAACTGCTGGTTTGATTGGTTAGTTACTCAAACTAGTCCATCTGATCAGTAGTTACATCCCCACCAACTTCTCTGTGCAGACATTGGAGGTAAACATCTTGGAGGGTTTCGAGTTTCGAGGCGTTCCCACAGTAGTGATCAGCGGCGGTCGGGTTGTTCTGGAGGACGGACAGCTCAACGTGACCGAAGGTTCTGGACGCTTTATAGCAAGAAAGGCTTTTCCTGACACCGTCTACAAGCGGATCAGAGCACGGAGCAAGGTAACCGATGAACAACAATGTAAACAGTTAAGTCACAACTTGCAGGTTAACACAGATCTGTGAACTGACCAGTCAGTCTTCTGATGTTTGGTTTCCATGCTCCAGATGGCTGAGGCCCGTGGCGTTCCCCGCGGTAACTATGATGGTCCAGTCCATGATGTCATCAGTGTGACCAAGTCAGTCCCACCAACTCCAACCACCAGGGGTCCTACGGGGACCAAAACCCCAACTGGCCCCCGAAACCTCCACCAATCAGGGTTCACCCTGGCAGGTATGCTCAGTTGGATCATTTAGAGGTGACTGGCCAGGTGAGGTGCATTCTGGGTGAACTGCTGATAATGTGATAAATTATTGGTCTTTCAGGGGCTCAGATTGACGATCACATACCCCGTCGCTCTGCTCAAAGGATTGTGGCGCCACCTGGAGGACGTTCCAACATTACATCTCTATCTTAATCCATTCATTTTCCAGCCAAGTGTTGAACATCTGTTAGTCTATGATCCAGCTGAGTTCACTGAACACCCTACAGGTGGAGCCACCTGTAGGGTGTTCAGTGAACACCTGTAGGGTTCAGTGGGCTCTACAAGTGAAACCGTCTGACCCTATATGTAGTTTAACTCCAGAACTCCCCAGAACCTTCTGGGTCTCCTGAGCTCAAACTGACAACTTTAGTCCTGAATGTAGCTGTCCCACCCAGAACCTCACCATAGTGCTTAGTCAACCCCATGTAACCCGGTACTAGACAGAACCGGTTCTGACCCGACAGTTCTGAAGCCCTCCACATCAGCAGCGACATAACCGGCCTGACGAGGAAGATGTCTTTATCTTACTTAGTGACATCACAGTAATATGAGTAATGCTGACATAAAACGCCAATCAAGCAGAACATTATGACCACATTGGCCTCTCAAAATACTTCCAGCTATCTGGGAGATGAATGATGCCAGCCAGCCCGCCTGTGGTTGACCCCTGACCCCCCTGGTGAGGTAGTCACAGCATTGCATCAGCTGACTTGAAGGGGCAGGCTGGCCTCCCAGGTCAAAGCTAGCCTTGTGGTCAGAACCAGGCTCGGTTCTGCTGCTGTTCTAATCAGTCTGGACCTCAGTTCGACTCCACTGTCCAAACACAAGGCTGCTTAACCCCAAGTCAGAATTCTAGATGGAGGGTATTTTGGGTTCTGTGGCAGTACCACCCCACAGGTAGGACCCTAAGACCATCTTCCTGGTCATGTGACCAACAGCTCATGGTTCCAGTGTAATCAGATGCAGCCTTTGTAGCAGTAATTGGATAACTTTAGATGATTGAGAACCACAGTCCATCTTCAGATGGTTTTGGCTGTTTGAGTCATGTAGCAACTTCAGAACCTGGTTCTGTAGACCAGAGTTGTTTTCTCTGACTGTTGATACTGCTAGCACAGCTCTAGCTGATCATTAGCATCCACACAGAAGGCCTGGAATCAAATACTGAGGGCTTTTAATTTGAAAGAGCATGTCTCAGAGAAAGAGGTCACAGTCAGAGTTGTTGACATCATGTGACTCTGCAGCATGTGATGTCACATTCACATTTTTAATGTAGCGTTTTCTAAGACTTTGTCTTAATTTTGTATTTTTACTCCTTTTTGTACCTTGGCTGTGATTGGTTCAATGTTTGGGTCAAGAGTTACATTTGTCTTCTTAAGATGATCTGTTTTTGATGTCAACGACTGGATCCACTTTTATGAGACCCACCAACCCAGACCCGTTCCAGTCCAGGTTGCACCGAGTACGACCAGCATCGTCAGAACAGTTTTATGCTAACTGAAATCAGTCTGTAAAACAAGGCAACCATTGGCTAGACATTAAGGTGGGCGGAGCCACCAGCTTCACCTTGCTGTTCAAATACCCAACCTGATCAATGGCACCTCAATGACCACACCCTCCTATTTTCACTCAATAGGTAGCATCAGTGTTAGCATCACTGCTCCCATGTTGGAGTCCAGCTGTTGCTATGGCTGTGTTTCTAACGCCTCAGGCCCCCCTGCCCTGCATGTTTTAAGTGTTTCCCTTCTGCCACACACCTAGATTGTATCTCTGGGTGATTAACAGGCTTCTGCAGTACTTGGTGGTCATGCAATCATTTGAATCAGCTGTTCTGGAACAGAGGCACATCTAAAACATGCAGAGCAGGAGGGCTGAGGACCAGGGTGGAGAAACACTGTGCTATGGAAACATTGACTACATGATTTCAAAAGGATTCAACCTTTAATAAACTGGCTTTTCCATAGGATACTGTGTTCATGGGTCACCTGACCAGCAGGTGCTGAGTTTAAGGGTTTGTTTAATATAAACTCAGATTAACTTGGATTAGATCAGCAGATTGCTAGGTGTCCAAGATGGCAGCCAAGTGGTTTCTAGTCATCTGTCTGTTCTCACACAGTGACCAGAAACAGTGTCCATGAGGAGCGTTACTATAGCAACCACACCTGTGATGTAGTAGGTATTGTGATGGATGTAATTTGTTGTGATAACAGTTGCATGATTAAAGTGTGAAGAGAAAAACAGAGTAAGACGTCTCTTATTTTACACCATTTTTTGAATCAACTGGTAACGTCATCCCATAAAAGCGAGGAACCCATTTAGGCAGGTAGCGTCTGGGAATAGGCACCAACCGGGCTAGATGTGGAAGGCCTTCAGGTTCTGCAGAGCAGAACCAATCCGATCCAGTATTCCTGTTGCTGGACTCTCCAAACTAACTGAGATGGCAGATCTGGGAACATCTCCAGAAAACGATGAAGCACTTTCAGATCCATCTGAAGGAGGCTCCACTGATCTCATGAAACTCACAAGCAAATGATCTGCAAGACGAAAGCTTTATTTGACATTTTTCATTTCATATTTATTAATTTCACATTCAGGAAAATAAATATAGTTTTCTGTAAACATCTACATTAAAAGTTCAAGTCAAATACTTCCAGATTTATTCTTAGTTTAGAAATAAGTTTGAAAAGTTTATAAGACAACTGGTCAGAACATCCTTTGTTTCAGGCTGGAAAAGCCATCCAGTTTGTTTTAATAAATGGCCACTTGGTCCAGCTAAGCCCAGCTGAAAGAAGTTCTCTGTTTTGTAGAGAAGGTCAAGTCAAGAGCTGAAAAGCTTCACTTATTTTCAATTTCTGGCGGCATATTTCATAATAAACGGATGTTTTATGGTGAAAAGAAAGTCAAACAGGTCAGTTTCTGCTGATATAAACCTCCAGGGTTGAGTTCAGTCACATGGTACCTTTTGCAAGGAGGACTGGGTCAGTACTCCTTGTTGGTCAACAGGGTGAAGTGAAGAACTTCCTTCCAGGCTCCACTGCATTTCTGAAAACATCCAAACAAACAGCAAACAGTGAGGAGATCAGTGAAAACTCTTAAGTTAATGTGGATGAAAAATGTCATGAAATATGTAGTGGAACGTGTTGAACACAGGGGGCCGACAGAGGATCTGAAGCGGACCTTATAGTGGGACCGGTCTGCTCTGGTCTTACGTGGTGCTGAAGTTGTTCCCCGGGTTTCCGATTCTTTCTCGCACAGAATCTGGACTGGTCATTCTGCAGATGCTGTTTAGCTCTGGAGACGTCAATGGCTGGAACAATCGACCTGAAAACAATTGGATCGGAAATTCAATGCACCACCTGAGAAAAGGTTCTGAATTTGTATCTGTGTATTTGGGGTCCACTGAGCCCTTCACCTTGGTTGAGCTTACTGGAGGAGGATGCAGACGGGTTCTGGTCCGTTCCCACGATGAGAACTTGTCTCCAGTAGTTTTCAGGAATGGACAGCAGGCAGCAGACAACCTGGGGATATGAGCAATCATTTGATCCAGATTCACCAAGGGGACCACAACCAGCTCAGAACCGAGACCAGTGGATCTTTTAAACAGACCTTTGGCTGAATGGTAGTGTCTTTCATGATGGTTGTTGGAGATGGCTCAGCAATGCTGTGACCCACTATGGTCGGTCCAAACACTCTGGCCAAGTTGTTCTGGTCCATCTGGCACTGTGGACTCCTCATCACCCTGAATTTCAAGGAGAACAGGTTAGTTCTGAAGACATGACAGCAGGTCCAGGTTCTGTCTGCAGACCTCTGATCTACTGAAGATTCTTACTTATGGAGGTGAATCATGAGGAAAGCCAGGGTGTCTCTATTGGCCTTTGGCAGCTCGGACACGGCCCGGTACAGGACAGCAGAACCATTGTCCTCATCCAGCTCTAAAACACAGACAGACACTTTTCAGTGGATGATTAGAGCCAGTTATGAAACAAATTCAGAATTGATTCTTCTACCTGAAGCCTCCATGAAGATCCTGTGCAGCCTGAAAGTGACCAGGGGTTCCCTCAGCCTCCTCAGGAAGTCCTTCAGGACCCCACAGACTACATGGATGTCCTGAACTTTACTAAGCATCAGAGAAGGCTTCCCCTGAAGGATCCGATCTCTGAGATTTCTCACTGGGCGCTCTCCCCCAGGAACCCGATACAGGCCTCTCTGAGGAAGACAGATCAGACACACATGAGAAAACAGGGTAGAAAGATATAAGTGGGTAGTTCTCTGGTGGATCAGGGCTGTTAAAGTCCAAGAACAGTACACCCAAACTGAGCAGCAGGTCCACTAATTGCACCCTAAGGGGACAACTTGGCCCTTAAAACGTCACATCTTCTGGTCCGTCTGTAGCAGATTTGGATCATCCTCATCCTCATCTGAAAGCCAGGCCACCCGGTCCAGTATTTTAGGTTTAAAATTTCCTTTTGGTTGCTGCAGAGAACAGAGAAGGAACAACAGCGAAGAACTCACCTCATGAAGACCCCTCCTCTCAATCTCAGCCACGCAATCCACGATGACCTGAGGAACTCTGGGATGGGTCAACGGAGCAAAAGCTTCCAGAGAGTCCTAAAACAGAGCAGAACTTAAATCAGAGCTACAGACACGTCAGTTGGTTCTGTTGGTGTTCTGATGTCTGTCAGATGAAGTCCAGATGGTGGACTGGTGGCCCTGCAGCTTAGTTTGACCATCATTCAGTTGGTTTAAACTTCTTCTCAAAGGTACCTGAAACTGGAACTAAGGTCCAGGTTATTTTTGTGCATGAAAGGAGAAGTTTTCTGACCAACCCCGATAGGTGCTCTGCACCGTTTCCACAACTGCTCTACCCCCTCACCTTATCAGCATCACTGCATTAGACCTGAAATCATCCAGTAAATCAGAGAAATTTTTTCTGAAACTCAAAGTCTGAAGCTTCAGAGAGAGTCAGGACAAACCCTGGCGAAACACCTGGAGCTCAGGGAGGTTCTCCTCCTCCCTGCAGGGAATCCAGAGCTTGTTTTCTGTCCCTGATTTCACCTTCAGTCCCACAGGAACCTGGAGGTCAGTGAGCTCTACAAACCCAGCAGACCAGAGCGAGTCCAGCCTGTCGGTCGCTTATTCTGCAGGCAACTGAATGCAACGGGTCACATTGAGCTAAACCAACAGAGGTACCTTATGAGGTCCACCTCCTGTCACTGTGCTGGAGGACGAGCAGCTGTTTGGGAAATTCTGTTTGCACTCTGGATGAGCCACAAGCCGACAGGTCCTGCATTTTACAGCCATTTTCCCAAAGCGAATCCTCTTCCCACATGGCGTGCAGGTCTCTGGTCGGATCACCTGGAAAGACACTTTAGGTTACTCAGGAACTTCACGTCAGAGGTCTCAAAGGTCAAGATTCCACAAGGCTCCTGATGCATCCCTACTCCAACACACCTGGATCAACTTAAGGCAGAGGTGTCAAACTCCAGTCCTCAAGAGCCACTGTCCTGCAACATTTAGATGTGCCTCTGCTGCACCACACCTGAACAGAATAATTAGGTCATTAGCAAGGCTCTGGAGAACTGATCTACACAGGGAGGAGGTAATTAAGCCATTTCATTCCACTGTTTTGTACCTGTGGCACATCTAAAAACAGCAGGACAGCAGGCCTTTACGGACTGGACTTTGACACCTGTGACTTAAGGCGTGCTGAAGGTATAGTCCAAGCATTTGATGCTGTTGTGTTGGGCAGGAATGCATCTAGAAGCAGCAGGGCAGCAGCTCTTGAGGAGTTGGAGACCCCTGCATTGGACATAGGGTCCCAGATCAGGTCCAGTAAGACTTATGTACCGTTTTAGACAGAAACTCGTGTCTCAAGGACTTGTGGAGAACCGGAACGTTTCTGTCCTCCACAGGAGCATTAAGCTCCACTGATTTCTCATTGCTGGAGCTCCACAAAGACGTTTGATCTGAGGAGAAGATGGAAAGACCAGTCAGAGACCAGAAGTACCTTCTCATCACCAGTTGGACCTCATGGTCCATTTCCCTGCCTTACAGTAGGTCTGATGGAACTGAAAGCCAGGTGAAATCCAGACAGGATGCAGCACTGAACTGGTACCAAATAGACCAATACCAAACCTGCAGTAGGGTTCTGATTGGTACTGACTAAATTCAGTAGAAAATAAGGGCTTCAGGGTGGACCTGAGTTCAAATGATTTAATGGAGATGGACCAGCACCAATTGTGATCCAGAACACCAGTCTGTTCAGTCTGAGCTGACTGCCTAAAACAGGATCAGAACTCTGTCACGATTAAACTGCGACCAGCTGAACAGATCCAACTACGAGGACCAGAACTTTCCATGTGTTTTGATTCTGCAAGAAGTAAGAACCACAAATGTATGAGGAACCAACAGAACTAACAACAATGGTTTCTAAAAAGAAATATGATCCACAACGTCCAAGATAGTCCATCCTGTCCCCTACGGTCCAAACATGCAATTCTCTTAACTGGTCTCTGTCAACTGATATTGGGAGTTTTTCTGTGGATAGACTGCCCTCTGCTGGTTGTTCTCATGCATTACATTTTATATTTAACTATTTTCTGCTCTGATCCCACAAGTCCAGACCAAAGGCAGTTCAGGGTGGTCCAGACCTGGTCCAGGTTTAAATCAGAGCAGCAGGTTCAGACAGTAGGTTTAGATAATCCAGGCTTGCTGTGGATCCAGATTCCATGTTCTGATTCTTAAAGTCCAAAATCCACAACAAAGGTCATCTTAAGGAATGCTACCAGACAATTCAGATCTGGTTCTGGAGGGTTAGTTTAGCTGTAAAGCAGCGGTGGAACCTGTCAAAGTCCTGATGAAGATCTTCTCCTGATCATCAGAATCTAAAGCTGTAACCCAACTATAGAAAAAAGAACCACTCGCCTCTTCCTCCTGCGGCCCGAACGGAGACGGCCCCCTCCTGGGAGGCGGATCGAGCCGGGTCATCGGGACAAGCCTGTTTGATTCCCAGAGCCATGTGGTTCTGTCCGCCTGCATCTGGAGTCGCCACGGATGCCTTCACGATGGATTCCACTTCCTGAGCAGAACACAGGTTGGAAGCCAGAACCAACAGGTCTCTGCTGGGTTCTGCTAGCTTTTTCACATCAGCCTCATGTCTTCTGCAGTGAAGCATGATGGGACATTTTCCAAAAAAAAATAAGCTTTTTGAACTTTGTTCGTTTTAGACCAAAGAAAGAGAAGCTGTGATCTTGGGACTGAAGGATTGTGTCTCGGCTGGTCTGATGACTGCAGACCACTTGGTGTTCAGATTAGAGTCACAACAACCAGAACCATTTTGACAACTGCAGTTCTGGGAAAACAGGTTAAATTTGAGGCTTCACACGACCTTCAGTCACTCACCCTGTGACGGTGGTGAGTGACTGGCGGAATGGGGAATCGAACCAGCAACCCACCAAAGAATTTACTGGAAACATTCAACAAATGTTTAGTGACCACTTGGGACAGACATCCATGCGTTTGTTCACGGAGGAGTATGTGTGATTCTGTGGGGTGGATTTATGGAATAGCACAGTGGAGGAGAAATGATAGAAGGTGAAATGAGTCTACATTAATTAGGAGTCGATTACTAGTTATTAGATCTTGTGAAGAGTTTTACTTCCAACTTCCACCACACCTAACCCGAACCAGAACAGCTATCAGTTTCCTGAGATGCGGCTCAGTCTACTACAGCAGCTGGTTCCAATGATCAACTGGACCTTCAACAGGACGACAACCATCATCAGTTCTGTTGGGTCCAGCTATCAGGAATTTCTATTCAAGTCTGAGGTTCTGGTCTTCAAGAAGAAAACCAACCATCTTCGGGTTTTCCTCACCTTCTCAATTGTTCTCTTCTCCTGGATCTCTGCAGACACATTTCCAATTCTGCTCCGCTTCGCCACTGGACCTCCGACCGGCATAGAGGAGCGCTTGACAAACCCACCGGACCGACAAGGACAGAGACGGGTCAACAGGGTGAGGATGGAAGACAGGAGGACATCAAGAGGACAGGATGAAGACCAAGATCATCATCAGCTTTTCGGGTTCAAAGCCAATCAGGACTCACCCTCCGCTCTCGGGCTCGAGACCTCAGAGGTTTGATCAGCGTGGTGTCCAGGTCCTGATATATGAAGACAAACGTACTCTGATCAGTGGGACAGTCCTGTGTGTGTGTGTGTGTGTGTGTGTGTGTGTGTGTGTGTGTGTCCTACCACATAGTCTTCAGTGCGGTCGTAGCTGATGTCGGAGTGGGACAGGAAGGACGACTCGTCAATGACAGACAACCTGCTGGGAGACGATCAGATGGGTCAACAACAGCCGACCCGGTTGGATGGTTCTAGAGACCCGCTTTGGATGTGACTGGTCTGGTCTGGTTCTGAAGCAGTTCTGCTTGGAAAACCAGGAGCATCATCTGTAGCTTTACCTCCTGTCCCGCCACTAGAACCCGTTTCTCTCCCCTCACCTCTTGGTGCTGCGGAGCAGCGTGGCGTTGGCTCCTTGCTGGTTGAGCTTTGCTAGGAAGTTTTTCTGCTCATCGTTCAGAGAAGTGTTGAACTTTCCGTCTTGGACCAGGATGTCACACATGAGCCCCATCTGCCTCTCCTGCAAGCGGTCGGAGTCGTTAGCGCCTCCCGCAGGCTGCCGCTGAGATCAGAAACCCATCAGCTTCCCTCACCAGGTACTGGTAGTTGGCCTCCACCTTGTGCCGCTTCCTCATCTCCACGTCCACCTGGTTCCGGGCGTGTTTCAGTTGGATCTCCAGAGCCGCTTTGGCCACATCCGACTTCACCAGCAGCTCCTTGAAGCGCTTCAGCTCTGCCTCCGCCCGCTGCCAGCTCCGCCTCACCGCCTCCAGGTTCTGCACCACGTTTAGGCATTCTGCATGGACACGAGACCCATCAGAACAAGAACCAGACGACCTGTCAGAAAAAGGACCGCCAGGAATGGTTCTTGCCTCGCTCCACAGCCATGCTGCTCTCCTCCATGTGGATCCGCTGCAGAACCAGAGCCAGAAGCTCCTCCATCTGGAGCCGAGTGTCCGTCACCTGGACACACCTGGAGGACAGAGGCATGGGAGCAGAGTTAAACCAGAACGGACCAGAATCTGACCCAAAAATAAAACCAAAGATATAATTAGATCTTTAGAGCTTCAGGAACCGACCCAGTTTATCAGCTGCAGTTCTACTGCCAGAGAAACTTACTCTGGTTCTTCAGAACCGGTTCTGATTGGAAAGTGTGGGAGTGATTCTGGACCTCTGGTTTGTTGGGAACCAGAATTCACATCAATGTTTATGTAACCATTGATAATTATAATAAATAAATTATTAATAAAATGTACATTCTTTTGTTTAATCAGGGCACCAACTCCATCGTCTCTGGAAGACAAACTGTGTGTCATGAAGGAAACTCCAGCAGAACAGAAACAAAACTGAAGTTATCATCTTTGGACCTAAAGAGGAATGATCTAGCGTTATGGATCTAGAGTCAACACACAGCTTCAGGTATTACAGCTGGAAACCAGTAATCGGGCCTGAAATCTGGGCGTAGTGATGACCTCTGACCTGAGCCTTCAGAGCCACATAAAGCCGGTTCCTCAGTGGTCCCTCTAGCAGCAGCAGAACATTCAGGCCCAGAGGACGAAAGTCTGAGACCAGAGAAACTCATCCAGGATTTAGTGGTTTGATTCCTGCAGCAGGTCAGACTGAGACCAGAAGCTGCAGCTGGAGATCTGACTAGAACCAGGAGGGTAGAGACACCACCTGGCTCTACACCGCCCGGTTCTACACCACCCGGCTCTACACCACCCGGCTCTACACCACCCGGCTCTACACCGCCCGGCTCTACACCACCTGGTTCTACACCACCCGGCTCTACACCACCCGGTTCTACACCACCCGGTTCTACAGTCCTTCACTGAGAGACTTTAAACTGCTGGTAGTTTAGAAATTAATGAACAGATTAAGATCTGCTGCTGGATCAACCTGTTAGTTCTGGTTCTGCTTCTGGTTTGCATCCAGAACCAGAACCAAACATGGAGAAGCAGCATTCAACTTCTATTCACCAAAGATCTGGAACAGACTGCCAGAAAACTGGAAAACAGCTGAAACACTGAGCTCCTTTAAGTCCTGACTAAAACCCAGCTGGTTGGAGTTGCTCCAAATCATAAAAGATTAAGAATTTAACAACGGCTCTTAACTAAATGTTGATTCTGTTACATGACTTTGATTTGACATGCATTGTTGCTGAAATGTGCTGTACAAATAAAACTTGATTGATTATTGATTGAAGGAATGATCACTGAAGCACTGACTTCTAAACAAATCAGAGAATTTATTAACAAAATAACCCGAATTCTTCCATGAATAATAATCATAAATTATTCTCTTTCTTTCAGTCCTGGCAGTTACTAATGATGATACACAAATTAATATAGATATCTAATGATAATATTGGAAACAAATCAGAACAAAATGAACTGGAATAATGAAAAAAAAAAAAAACTTTAAAACTAAAAAAGAACTCCAACCGGATTAGGGTTAGTCAGGATGTCTGTCTAAGGTCAAAGGTCAGGTTTATCCAAAGTTTAGCTTCATCCTGGCTAAAAAGCAGCTGATCAGATAGGTCAGCAGGTTAGGGTTAGAAACCTGACGAACATGAAAGCATTTATTCATCATCACAAAATCCCAAAACAATAAAATCTATTCTGTGACAAAGGGAGGAGAAAACTGGCGAAATGTGTTCAAACCTACGATTTTCTGTTAAAAACTGAGCTGCAGCATTCTCAGCAACCGAACATAAAACGCATTACAGTGACCAAGTCTGCTTGCAATGAACGCACAAAGCATTTTCCCCAAGGTCAGGCCTGGTTAGGCTATCTGCCTCAACTGGAAGAAACTCTTCTTTAAGACCGATTGAACGATTTAAACCCAGCTTAAATCATTCTCAGATTAGCAACAGACTGTCAAATTCAGCTTTAGAGAGCCAAAATTCACAAAGAGACAGAAATGCAGCTGAGCAAAATCCCTTCAGTTTTATCATCGTTAAAGTTTGGTGCCATCCGGACATTTCAACAGAGGATTGATGGAACCATTAATCCATTTGAGGGGCAGATCGATCTGGCAATCAGCGCAACAATCAAAGGAAAAGAACCTTAGAACAGAGTCCAGCTGAAGCAGGTATGATGAAAATAAAAGTGGCCCCAGGATGGAACCCTACAGAGCGCCGCATGCAAGAGGCGCTGAAGTGGAAAAACATCGCCAACATTAACACAAAGTGTCTGGAACCGTCATGGCTGCTCCAGTATCCCCAACAGCAATAAAAGGGTTCTGGGGTCAACAGCATTGTAGGCCAGGTCAAAGGTCAAAGGCCCAGTGACAAAAGGATCACAAAGTGACCAGAGCCATCTGCTAAAAAGTTCTCATTTAAAAACTCTCAAGAAAGCCGTTTCTGTTCCAACCATTTATTTATTATTATTTATTTAGCCATTTATTTGACTTGGACCAACTATTCTCCTTTTTTCATTGATGGGTATTTGCAGACTTCAGCAGTATGAAGAAGAGAAAACAAACCAAAGTTTATCTGACAAATTCTGTGGAGAAAATCTGCTGACACGGCGTGGGCGGCCAGACCCACCGCAGGCTGACGGACCGGACCGGAACCACGGAACCAAGAACAGAACCTGTGAAGTTCCAGGGGCTGAAAACCTTCGGGACCAGACAAGGCTGGTGGTTCTCTAGAACTTCGACTCAAATCTTTTCAGTAAAGGTCA